TTCTTAACCAGAACTATAGGTGAGGCAAAAAAACTTACACTATGTTGGATGATACCTCCTTGTAGCAATTCTTGAGTCATCTTTTCAATGACATCTGTTGACGTGCCAAAATGGATGGAGTCGCCATCTATCCAAATGAGGTGGGATAGATCACCAAGGTCTACGTAGAAATTGACTAAATTCGGAGGGTCAGTTAAGTGTGAGGAAGGTGTTAGGCACCCCACAAACTTCCATATAAATATGGTTACCACATACTTTAATTTTGGGGAATTTTCAATTTTTTATCAAATAATAATAATTACCAAATAAATCAAAAAGAAAAAATCACTTCAAAAAAAAAAAATCCTCAATCATTTTTTATTCTCCATTTCTTTTCTTTTCTTTATTTTTGTTTTTGCTTTCTCTTCTTCTTTTTTCCATTTCTGTTTTTTTTCCGTTTCTGTTTTTTTACCGTTTCTGCTTGCTTTCTTTTTTTTACTTCTGCTTCCTTTTTTTTTATTCGTTTCTGTTCCTTTTTCTAATGCCTAAATCCCCCCCTTTCCTATTCCCTAAAATAAATTTCTTTTCCCCAATTCTGCACATCATTTGAGGTTTCCAACATGTAATCATAAAAACAAATTTCATCCTAAATCTTTGTCTTATCCCTCAAACACCTAATTAATTCATACAAGTTAATTCCACAAAAGAATAATACATCAAATAAAAGATTCATTGCAACAAAATTTTCACCACATCCGATTTCCAGAACGAATAATAGAAGAGATACTTGAATCACACAAGATTACCCATGCTGCAGAATATGTAAAAGGGGAAAAAAAAGTAGTAAAATAAAATAAATTTCACACCTGTAAGGAGTTGCAAAATTTAATGCTTTATTGTTTTGTGAAATCCTAAATACAAGCTTCCTCTTCGCTAACCCCTGCAGCTACTTCACCTCTGTTCTACTTTTCTTCTTTGCTTTCTCTCGGCATCTTCTCCTTTTTCTTTTTTTTCGATTCGCTCCCTTTCTCCCTCTCAACTCTCGGATCTCTCTTCCTTCCCCCAATCTTTTTTTCTCCTCTAGAAGCCGAAGGCTTCCCCTTTTTATACAGAAACAGAGAGAGTTCAAAACCTTTTCTAATTCTAAGTTCTTATCCCAATCTCTAAAATTACAGATAATAATCTAGCCTTATTAGAATTTGGAATTCTAACACTAATCTAGTTCTTTACACATCTTCCCTCTTTTAAGGCTAGATTCATACCTTTAAAATATCAGGACTCCCAATTTGAATCGACTTCGAAAACTTCTTCTGCGACTCTTGATAAGGGCTTCAAATCCGAAAATCTCTTCTTGTGTTGTTGTGATCTATCTAAACTTCAAGTGGATTTGTAGATAAATCAAAAGAATTTGGGAACTTTGGGAGAGTGCCTCACGGCAAAAAGAAGAACCGTGAAAGTGAGGGACTTGCATTCATCTGAACCCTAGCCCCCCTTTTTATTTTTTCAGCCTTCAAGCAAAACGACGTAGTTTTGCAATCTCTTCCCCTCAGCCCTTTAAGTTTCATACTTTTATAAAAACAATCCACTGACTTTTACTTTTATCATTTAGCCCCAATTAAAATTGGGTTATGACA